TCCACCAGGTTCAAGAGAATGCCTGAACCTTTCAAATAGTATGAGAGAAGCCGGAGATTTTAAGACAGCACATTGTAGGAAGCTGCTGACAGCCAGCACTGTCTGAGTGACAGGTAATCTATGGTAGCGCTGTGCTGAAAAACGGTTGTTCTCAGTTCTCCCACTTGTTGATTATCTCCTGCTGACCCTGTGGATATTTTTGCTGTAATATTAGCAGTTTCTGAAATTAGACAGGCTATTTTAGAAACCTCTCTTTGAAGTCCGGTAAGTCCTGGGGCAGGTAACAGAAAGGCTGTGGGAGCAGCAACTGTAGTGGGATCCCATAGATGGACGGAATCATCTCAATATCCACAAAGAGATCTTGTAATGCTATTAACTCGGCAGATCATAAAGATTGGCCGGGTGAAGTAGGTGTAACATACCCTATCCCACGTAAACCCCTCTATCCTGCTGGAGAGCAGAACAAGTACTATTTTCATAGATAAAGAGTACATCCTAAGGGAGATTGATTATCAAAGGGGAGGGTATAATGAGACGTGGAATTACAGTCAGAAGGGATGTTTGAGCAATACAAACATAGACAGTGGAGGGAAGAGACATTACCACCTCTACATCAGTCACAGCCTTTAAAATTATAGTAGGGGCCTGTTCCATTTTTGTCCCCATTCTCCTTGTATAATTTTCATAAGAAACCCCTGTTCCATGCAATTTTTTTCTTTTTTTTATTTATTATGTATACAGCATTCTGCTTCCATGTATATCTGCACACCAGAAGACAGGCACCAGATCTCATAACGGATGGTTGTGAGCCACCATGTGGTTGCTGGGAATTGAACTCAGGACCTTTGGAAGAGCAGTCGGTGCTCTTAACCTCTGAGCCATCTCTCCAGCCCACAATCTTCTTTTTAAGAGTCTGGGAATAGGGACTGGAGAGATGGATCAGAGGTTAAGAGCACTGGCTGCTCTTTCAGAGGTCCTGAGTTCAATTCCCAGCAACCACATGGTGGCTCGCAACCATCTATAATGAGATCTGGTGCCCTCTCTGCCCTGCAGGGATACATGCGGGTAGAACACTGTATACATAATAAATAAATCTTTAAAAAAAAGAGTCTGGGAATAGAGGGACCTCCTCTGATACAGAAGGCATTTTCTTGTTGGCTTTTTAGTGCTAAATGGACTCAGCTATTATATCCCATATTGTTAGTTACAAGACAGGGTGACTCTGGGTATGTTAAGTTCAATGGAAGGGATTAATGAACCACTTCCCCTTCTTATTTTAGCACACCTGTAATTTCCATTATCAAACCCTTTAAGGAGTATTTGATTATGCTGAAGTCTGTGCTGTTGTGTTGGGATTGGTCAGGTAGATTAGTCCATCCCAAGGATACTTCATCCATGTGGCTAAAGACCATTTGTTCCCCTTCTTTTGTCCAAACTACGGGCCCTGGTGGATAAAGGCAACCCTTTGCATGGCAGGACAATGTCAGGCTGTTTCCTATGATAGGGGAGCCTTTGTTTTCCCTGTCTCAAGATGCATTTAGGTTCCGTCTGCATAGGTTGAAAACAAAACTGTTAGCCATAAGACAAGCATGGTACGAATTTCAACAGCAAGAACAGTTATGTCAGACAGTCACACCTTAGAAAGTTTGGTTTTTAACTTTTTCAGTCACCTTCCACCTCCAGGGGTTGGGCTCCTCTTCCATGGGTTCCTCGGGTGCCTTCCTGAGATGTGAGTGGTGAAACCAGGCAGAAATACTAGTGATCCAGAGAATCACAGTGTAAGATCCTTTCCATCTAAGTTTGAAGCTTCGGACCAATACGCAGCATCTCAGGGATAAGCAGCGGCTCAGGTGGGTGGTACCCAAAAGGCTGGGCAGCCAAGGGAGAACCTTTTTTTTTTTTTAAAGATTTATTTATTTACTTATTATGAATACAACATCCTGCCTCCATGTTTGTCTGCACGCCAGAACAGGGCACCAGATCTCGTTATGGATATTGTGAGCCACCATGTGGTTGCTGGGAATTGAACTCAGGACATCTGGAAGAGCAGTTAGTGCTCTTAACCTCTGAGCCATCTCTCCAGCCTCCCTATTACCCCCAAGGGAGAATCTTACTCAGCGTTAATTGCCATCCTTTTAAGGACTCAGAGACTGGAGTGGGGCAATCTGATAACAGTCCAGCATGTACCTAAGGGGTCATGGGAGGTTGCTGTCCATACATAATTTCATATGGAGTGAACCTTTCTCGGCAGTGGGTACATCCAACTCTGAGAAGGGCTTAAGGCATGAGGTCAACCCAGTTACCACCAGTTTCAAGAGTATATTTAGCGGGGCTGGAGAGACCACTCAT